ATCACTAATTCTAATCTGTTCTGTTAACTGCTACTGTAGGGGATCATAAAACTGTTACCCCTTCTGTCTTAAAGCAAAGTGTTCTAGAAAATTAAAAACTATCAAAGTTGTGAAAAGGTGCTCAACAAGGTGGAGAAATTGTTGATTAAACATTAAAACATTAAAAAATGCATTAAAACTGGCCCCACCGGGTTGAGTTGAGCTTTGGCAGTTGATTTCTGGAAGAAATAACATTGGGTGACCCTTTAGCATGTATACAACTCATCAAACTAGCCATCAACCACTCAACCGCGGTGGAGAACCTTGACTTCTGAGGTCAAATTTACGCCCAAATTTGCCAAATTTGCGTCTCCACCTATGTTGAGTGTACTTTTCAGCAAGGATGCCCTTGCAATATGAGTTGGTAGATGATTTAGAACCATTGGTATTGCAAATGGACTGCCACAGTCACTCTACAGCTCCTAAACTACAGAATAACAGATTTTGAACTGCATGTTATGCTGTCTCCACCTCGGTTGAGCCGATTCTGAGGATCCTATTCTATGAAATATGATTGGTATAACCCATAATATTAAATATTAGGACTTTGGAGCAATTAAAAAGCATGAGAGGGTAAGTTCTAGTCATTTATATTAGCTCATGTAGTCAGTGAGCTGCACCACCTGTGTTGAGCAGACGAACCTGCTCAACCGGCACTTTTTGAGTACCCACCTGTCTTACGTAACTTTAAATTGTGAAATTTGGAGTAAATATTTTTTTCATAAGTGATTTACAGCTCCTTTATGTTTGTAATTTTCAGGTGGCCACTGTCTCCACCAAGGTTGAGCTATTTAAATTTTGAACCCAGATATCATTATAGAAAGGTTAGGAGTATAATATCTGAAGAGCCTGTACCCCTTGGACTGTCAGAGGAACTATAATTAATTTTACCGTTTATGGCAGTGAAATGAGTGTAATTAGTGACTGATTTTATGTACAGGTTGTCTCCGAACTTGACCATATTTAATATAGTTAAATCTGCGTCATATTGTTCACTATAATTCATCCAGGAATCCAGTTTTACCAAATATGTCATTCATTTCATTGGCTGACAGCTTCAGACATCCACATGCGAAGATACTTAGAGACTTACTCCAAAGTGTGTCATTCTTGCTTATTCTGAAGATGAGTTATTAAGGATCCAAGACTTGATTTTCAGGGTTGGTCATATAGGCAGTTATCTTGTAAATAATAAATATTCAACACAGTTGACAATTTATTATTAGAATAACCCTACAAATTATCTTCTTATCTTAAACAATAATCTCAGAATGTGTGTCTGTCTGTCTGCATGTCTGTGTGTATATGCAAGTGTAACTTTCGAGCGGCTTAATCAAGAAAACGGTAAGAGTTACGGGACTGGTTTTTTCGGTATAGTTTCTCTGACAAAGCCAAATGACTAAGGTTTTTCAAATTGGTCGGTGGTAAGTGGTTTAATCGATGGTTTTGTACCACAAATGTGACATAAAATGGCTCTCTTTTTCTCCCTCCTCGCTCTCTCTCCCATTACTGCATATTATGTAGCGTTGGTACATAAATCATAATTAGGTTAGCCACAAGATAATACTATAAGCTTATTAGAAGGGATTGCACTCATTTCAAAGCGTCCTGTAGGATTATGCCTTAGCTAAAAAAGGTACCTCCGAGTGAAATTGAGTTACTAATACCTTGATGAAGGCCAGTGCTTCAGGAAAAAAGTTTCTCAAATCGTGCAGATAAATGTGCATAACTGACTGTACTAATTGCAGTCTGTTTGGACTGTAGAGAGAGAGTTCATACTTTCATGCGTGTTTTCAAATATAATAGGCGGGTTTATACTTTTGCATTTCCACTGCTATAGTGAAGTCCTGGCCGTAGGCACGGGTTACACTTGTTATTAAATGTCATAAAATCGCAGGACTTAAAACCTGATTTGAGACAGTACGTCAACTGGTGCACAGATGTGAAAATTGTTGTTTGGATAAAATAACATAGTTTTAAACTAATTACAACATTACAAATCTATTACATTTATCGAGAATTATGTAATGTAACGTGATGGAAATATTTTAAACGGGCATATCCTGTCCAAACCCAGGATGCACTACATGAAGAATTCGTTGTAACTTTGTTTGATAAGCATTAATACACAAGAATGCCTATTTTTTCCGTTCACACTCTTTTGTAAAAAGACAATAGTGAAAGGTTACGAATGGACGTTTTTGCAGAAAAACGTGGATTTTGGAGAACGAGATAGGTGGGTTTAAATATGTCGTCCGTCCTTTCGTTAGTTACCATGACAACTAGCGCGCAGTGCAGCGCGCGAGTATTGCTTGCGGAGATATGATGTATATAGCTAGCATGTCAATAAATGCGCGGCGTGAGTGTATTAATTAATGTATAGTATTAGGTAATGAGCCCAATTTGTACGTGGCATACGTACTCGTAGTATAGTGTACTATGTGTATATTATTATTATGCTGTGAGCTGATTAGAGCTTATATTTATAAATATAGTGAACGGAAATCTAGCGTCCGCCAAAACGAAACAACGGGCGCAATTCTTGTTATGCGTTAAGTACGTCTTTGTATCGAGGATGACACGTGATGTACAGGAGCTTTTACAGAGAGTAGGTGAGTGTTGAGAGTTTGCTAATTGTAAAATCTACTGTAAGAGTGTATCATTATGAGTGAAAAACTACTACCAGTAAAAATCACATGGTTTAGATGTTTAGGCGTAGGAAACTTGATTTGATTGGTCGTTAAACACCTTGTCATATAACTCCTCACTGACTGGTAGCTCCGTGCTCACAAGTCTAAGTTGGGCTTAGAACCAGCTTACTGGACATTTTCATTAATCATTGTTCAGGTCATCATGGTCACTCACTGAAACCTATGTTGAACAAGTATATTATATATCGTCACAAGACTTTTGAAACACACTGTAGTTAATTCATTCTATTCTGTAGTTAACTTATTCTATTCAAGTTGCTTATTTTCTCAAGCATCAGTTGTAACATAACACTGATATTGATGAGTATAAATTGTATCAATAGTGGTGTTGTTAAATATTAATCTATTATCATAATTTGTTATTATAATCTATTGTTCACTCCGGACAGTGTGGCAGGGATGGAGAGGACTGCTACTGTATCCTCTTTACACTAAAGAAGGATAAAGCTTGTAGAGGCTTTGCTGATGTGTACAGAGAGAACAGGTCCAAATGTTGCAGGGCTTTGTTTGATGAACAGTTCTCAGGTAATCGAATATCTTACTGAAAAGGAGTGCGTTTATGTGTGATAAACCGGGTAAACCAAGAAAACAAAAGGATGAAAACCCAATGTGCGATACCTTCTCATGTATTCAAACACCTTTTAAAATTGTGCATTATAATGTATCATAATTATATCGGAGCTGAAGTAAATGAAATTAGTTGAGATATATAATTATAAATGTGGATTACAATTCTTTCATATAACGGATCAGACGAGTGTTGTCGCTTCTGTGGAAAGTCTTTTAAAGCTACTTCTCTCAGTTACTCGATGTTTGTCAACAGAAAACAACTAAAACATTCTTTGATGAGGGTATCTAAGTATATTGACTCATTTGTTTGGAAAAAAGTTTGCTTTCATGACATTTAATTGCCAATTTTCAAATTAGTCTATGAAATTCAATATAGTAATTAAAATTTTGGACATTGCATAATTAATAGTATTAATTAATATATAGAATAGTATATATAAATGTGTTGTCATTTAGCAAGGAGAGGGAGTAGCTCACCGTAGAAGGAGCTGAGAGAATGTCTCCTTCATAAATCACATGACAGGACCAACCTGTTATTTGCGTCGTGTTCTCTAACATTTAACATTATAAAACATCTTGTAGATAACGCGGAGTATATATTTATATTATATCTTGTTATACTCAACAAGATGTGGGTAAAATTATCACAGATGAGTATACCAACAAGGAAGTATTTGATGTATTTGCTGGGGTATTCGAAGACATTCCCTACGTTTCTGTGGAATAGACTCTGATACAAGTTGATATTCACTAACATCACACTTCTTTGTCTAAGTCAGAAGACGGTAGCTTCATGGTATAACATTTTCGAGAACTCGCCATCACAGATCATGTAGAAAGTGGTATATATTAATTATTATACCAGGACTCAGGAGCGCTCGTCTTTAGTTCGGCTGGCTGTTACCCGCAGGCCCCAGATTTTTAAACTTTTAAACTCTTTTAAACGTTTTAATGTGCAATTTTGATTGTACTTTTTAATACTACGAGAATGTTCAAATCATTCTTATAAAAGTTTACCAATATCAGATAATTGTGATAAATATATAATAATAATATATATATATAAGACAATTTCGCAAAGACATCAAATTTGTTGCATTTTTGTTGCCATCTGTTATGATTTATCATAACTTCTTATCATCAACGAAACTGCTGCTTATGGTGGGGGGAATGCCTGATTGGATTATGGAAGTCCCCATAATACCCCAAAATACCCCATGACTTCCCCCTTACGTCCTTAAGCAACTCCTTACAGTATCATTCAATGCGGATTAATTTGTGTGGAGAGACTACTCATTATATGGTAAAATGAATATCCAGTCATCAAAAACCGAGCAGTAATGTCCGCAATCCGCATTTATATTAATTTCATGGCACTTAACCGGTCTGCGGTTATTAATGACTGGTTTTTGTTCAGGGAGTTCAGGGAAGGAAGTAACAAATTAATCCTATAGTTTTATGAAGCAACCATATATTGTGGTTTCACTTGCTCAAATGCCATTAAGTTAATGTTGATAGCAGTCGGTATCTAGTCCGTATGGCGGACTGAATCCCTACTGATAGTGATACTGTGATAGTAGCGATAGGGATTCGGTCTGATAAGGATTCGGTCCGCTGTTTATAATCTTTGTCCAACTGTAACAATATTGAATCAAACATATTCGTCACAAATGCATTACTAGGATGGTAAACACTAACAGATAACACAGTTAAGTTATCTCGCCTGGAAAAATGGCAGGAAGAATCGTAAAAGATGTTGTTATAGCAGGTAACTTTCCCCTGCACTTGAAAATATCACTCTCTGAAAATTTTCTATAACATCGAATCTTAGGCAATATCAATTATTGTTTCAATTCGAGTTGATTGATAAGCCTTTTATTTTCGTCACTTCAATAATCATGAATAAAAAGCGTTTTATTTCACGCCCAAGGTGATTAGTTGAATTTTTTGGAGTAGCTAGATTTCTAGAGGGTTTATTTATCTTAGTCCTTATAGCTACTTGTCACGTTGTTAATTTCCATCTCAAAATATAAATTTCAGGTGGAGGGGTGATTGGAATGTCGGTGGCTTTCAACTTGACAAAGTTTATAGATCCTAGTCGAATATGCGTGCTGGAACCTGAACCAACTTACGTGAGATCCGCGTCTGCTTTGTCGTGGGCCTCTATTCGTCAGCAGTTTAGCCTGGCTGAAAATATCAAACTTTCTCAAAGTTCAATCAAGTTTATTAAAGAAATTGATCAACATTTACGTACGTCAATCATATTTGTATTTGACTATCGTTAATTACCGTTTTATTAATTGGTAATCTGATTACGTTTAATTGGATAAGTATAACAAGCCCATTCGTGTCAAATAATTTCCATTTCCATGTTTAATCAACCGTTCAAATAATAAGATACCGTGATCAAGATCATAAATGATGACGATGTCTTGTGTCATTGACAATGTCAATTATAATTGTTACTACTTAGTATATTCTATTATTATTTATTTAAACAATGATATTGTCAAACATATAATTAAATCCAGACTATATCACCAAATGCATCGACATCAAGAGTCGACCTGTACCTGTACTACGAACTGAACAAGACTATTTCTTCCTAAATGTTGACCGATATTGTCTTGTTTAAAAAGAGACTAAAGACTCATATAATCATATCTTTGAAAATGTATTCATATAATATTTTTCTCATAAAAATCATACTTCATAAATATTCAAAAAATTCTTAGTTCTTATGTACATGTTTATGAGTCGCTTTAGATGGGTTTTGAGTTCTTTTTGACTAAAATAAACTAAACTATAAAGCGATGTATAAATTTCTAGTTATTATTACTTTATTATTATATCGGGTCTCAATAAGAGGTCTCGACTGCCTAGGCACCAAACCTTGGCAGTCGGTAATATATCTCTGGCCCGGAGTCAGCTGACCCTAGGGACCGACCAGAGGATATTATTATTATAATAATTAAATGCAATATAATTACAGGAGTGCCGGGGGATGAGGATGTAGTTGATATTCACTATAAACACGGTTCCTACCTGTTTTTAGCGAGAGAAGAGGATGCTGACCGTCTGGAGACCAATATAGCTGTACAGAAGGAAGCTAATGTAAAGGTTCACAGGTTGGAAACGTACTTACATTTTAATGATGATGGATGTTCAGAAATATTAACATTTTTACAATCGATTGATGACACTTTTGATCGCTTGTTATGCAGCTAGATAGATATATTTAGTGATATATAAGTTAACTGATTTCATTACATGAAGCTACCACACCAGGTACAACCAAAGTGAGCTAAAGGAGAAGTACCCCTACCTCAACCTTGAAGACATTGTGTTAGGTTCAGACTGTGGCGAGGACGAGGGTTGGTTTGATCCATGGCTTCTTCTCTCCGCTTACAAGAACAAGATAAAGAGTTTGGGGGTTGATATTGTTACTTGTAGGGTAACTGGCTTCAATCCTGACAAGTCTTTACTGGTTAGTTTGTATATCACGTGAATGAAACACTAAATAAATGATAATCCGAGTTAGTAAAAACCTACCCGCTGGGGCAGCTGAAACTACAGATTTTGAGATATTATCTGCTGACGAACTAAATTACAGGTCCATGATTTAAAGACAAACAGGACCCAGACTCTCCACTACAGCAAGTTTGTTAACTCCACCGGAATTCATGCTAAGTTCACAAACAATCTCCTGAACTCAGCACTGTCTTCAGACTCTAGGTTCAACCTTCCTGTTACACCCCAGCGCCACTACACCTTTAATATCGCTTGTAAAGGTTTGTAAATGTCACATGCCTTATCAAACAATATATTATATCAAGAATAGATGCATATCTAGATCTTAATGGTGTGCAATTGGATTTCCTAAAGAAGGCGATACTGAATTGTGAGAAGTTAAAATGTAACAGTAAACTGCCGTTATTAAAATCTCACTTTGTCTTCAGAAGGACCATCAGACCTGCCCCTAACACTGTGTCCTCTGAAAACTGTGATACGATCTGAGGGTCCCAACTATATCGTCAAGTCCTCCGCTGGAACATTTGTTGACGATGAGGAGGTCATTGTCCTGTCTTTAATTGCTGTCACTTTGTAGTCATTGTTTTAGTAAATTGACGCTTGGTTACATAATTATTCCTTCAAAATTCGATTAAGTGATCAGTCCTTAAATATATTATTTCTCAATGATTATTATGAAACACAACACGATTCATCAAAGTTGAATGTACTTGCAAGTTTGTACAGTCAATACTTGACTCTTGTATCGTTACACTTACAGGAGCTGAAAGACTTCGGCGATGTTGACGACGCTAACTTTATTGAGGATATCTGGGAGAATTTAGCGTATCGTATTCCTGCTTTCGAGGCCACCAAGATACTAGGTAAAATATAGTTGTTTTAATCTTGGTATTCTTGTATCCTGTAGTGATTGATGTCCTGAGAACCAAGGTACCCCCCCCCCCTCCTCAGATTGTGTTGAGGTGGCTACGAGTTCGTGACTCGTGAGGCAGCATTTAATTTGCAGGAGCTGACATTACAATATCAAAATAAATATATCCCTTCTCTTTGATATTGCTTTTCAACAATACAAAGATAATTTTAGATATCGGTTATTAAACTCCACATGATTATTTCAATTAGCTAATTACCGTAATATGAATGATTACTTATTACAATGTGAATGATTATAATGTAAGTAATTACTAATTATAATGTAAGTAATAACTAATCTTACCTAATGACAGGGGGTTGGGTCGGGTACTACGAGTATAACACACTGGATCAGAACGCTCTCATTGGACCTCACCCTGCAATACCTGACCATTACTTTATAAACGGCTTCTCCGGACACGGTGAGGGCATATCACGTGACAACCACGTGACAACCACGTGACAACCACGTGACAACCACGTGAAAACCACGTGAAAACCACGAGGTTTTATCGTTTAATTAAAAATGTTTCAAACATGTGTACTGTGAAAGAATGCCGACTTTTCAGCACCGTAAATGATTATGTTATGAATTATGATTATAATTATTGTAAGTCTGCACCCCGAACAACATTCATGTACTCCCAAACTTCTAAATGAGCTCCATCTTAATTAAAAGCTGCTCCTAAATATTAAAGCCTCCCTTAACCCAGGTATACAACAGTCCCCCGCAGCAGGGCAGTGTTTAGCTGAGATTATGTGCGGTGTTCAACCCCACTTAGACATCAGTAATCTGTCTTTAGACCGGGTCGTCGAGAACAGACCTTACATGGAACGGAACATTTATTAACTCTGTCACCTTTAAATGTGCTATTCGGCAGTATCGCTTACATTTAGGGACTGTCTGAATCAAGAATGACAGCAAATTTTAAGCCGTGACCCGCTTGATCCGACCCGAATATTATTTTACAGTTCTGTCAGTAATTTAGGAATAGTTTTATGTTAAAGTATTAGAGTGTTAGAATTAGTATAAGAGTGTTATATAGTAGTATAGTGATAGAATACATAGCATGGTTAGGAAATAGGAATACAATAATTGTTGAAATGTATGCTAGGATTTACGTATTTCTTATAACGTATGTTGTAGCTTAGGAATTTGAGTGTTTTAATTTGAGGAAACTTTTGTATACGAATGTCTTTATAGGAATTTCCATGTTGAAGTTATTTGAAGTATTTACTATTATAATGTACAGTTGTTGCGTATAGAAGACGTTAAATTTACCAATTGTGGTACTTATATTAATTATTGAGGTTTTAATCTGAACCTAACATGTAGAAATTGGAGCTTTTTGGGGTAAGGAATGATAGGTTCACGTTCCCTCTTTCCATAAAAACCAATCGAATTTTTCTGCATCTTTTGTATCTTATAAAGATTCTTGTTTGTAAAATTATGGTAGCATTAGTTGAGCTGTCGCTTAAGAAACAGATTATATTAGAGAATGTTTTCATTACACATAATAGCATCCAGTGTTTGCGTTTAATTATTGATTTGAATATTAGTTTGATATTGTTGTGTGTTTCTTTTGGCTTTAAAAGCACATTTTTCCTGCTTGCAATATTTGTTGATGTGACTACTTAATGCGTACTTTGCGCCTAAAGTATCACGCTATCACACGATGCTTGTAACATTTTGGCAAATTCAGTACTTTTTTGGAAGGCGCGCGGATATTTTTATGAAAGAAAGTTAATATTTTATCACGAAAACTAGCAATAGCAAAGCATGCTTCGCAGATCGTTGCCGCTTTATTTTGTTCGATATGTTTCTAAATTTGGACATATTTTCTAACATTCTAACTTTGAGCAGGTGTAACATGTCATTCTCTGCTAGAAGCTCTTCTGGTAAAGACACGGTGAGTTTTCTTCAATGTTGCTTTAAGTTTGGATCAGTGTCGACTGTCGAGTGTTGTGTATACGAAGATGATGCTGCCGTTTATTTCTTGGTTTTATCATTAGTTATTGTGGAACAAGATTAATGAAATAAATTTGTCAAGGTTACATCTCCTGGACCGTTGAGAGAGCTAAGATGCCAAATCACGTGACATGGAACCATTGTAGAGTGTTTGAAAAGCACGTTTCATGTCAACTAACAAGACGTAACAAGGTATTTGTGTACTGTTGTGACTGTTCGCCATTTGTCTATAGGCCTTTACCAATTGTACTTTTCTGTTTGTTATTTGGTTCAATTTTCAGGCCGCCTGGCATCTGTTTATTTTTAGATATCTAAGTTATGGTGAGGGAGACTAGAGAGGGGGATTTAGAGGGACAAGGGAGCAAGGGGAGGGATAGGGGGATTTAGAGGGACAAGGGAGCAAGGGGAGGGAGAGGGGGATTTAGAGGGACAGGGGAGTAAAGGGGAAGGTGAAGTTTGAGAGAGTTTTTTGTTTCTGTTTCTGGTCAAATTCGGGTGCTGCTTAAAATGTTACCTCCACAGCTTTAAAACTGTGTCTCAACCCATTACCTGTGGCTGTGCAGGTAATTGGATTATCTGGGTAGAACCATGTTTCCTGGGCGCATGTTATAACCATCATGTTCCCTGATATTTGTAGGTAACCAGGTTTACACGATACTTCAACCTCAGTTCCTGGAGGAACTGGGAACTGGGTGGTAGTTGATAGCTTATCGTGTTCAGGGTGAAGTTCAGGATGAAGTCCTGTGCATCCAACTGAAATTGTGTGTATTATCTGACTATTAGCAAATAGTAAGTTTTTGAAGGAGTCTGGAAACCAATTTTTATTATAATTGTTAATTATAATCCGTTGAATATACCTCAAAAATTTTATGTCGCTGATATACCTGTAGCAAATGCCGATATTTCTCTCATGTGAATAGCCGCATCTCTGCTATAGCTTCCCTTGTCATGTCGCAGCGTCACCTTCACTTCATTTCCACACTTCATATGACAAGGAATGTGATACGTTTGTCCCTCTATAGTCTTTACAGGGCCCACTTTGAGAACTCCACAGAGATTGGTAATTCCTGTATCTGTGTTGACTACAAATATCTTCGCGTCCTCCATACGAGCAGCATTCCAATCGAGATGAGACTGGATGATGACCACTTCAGAAAAGAATAGGAAAGCATCGAACTGCATTTTAAACCACAATTCAGCGTTCCATGAATACCCAGTTGTTTCAGAATTTGTTGTCACATTACCGTCGATAGCACGTTCCGCTTTGTTGTTTCCGTAAGTGCTAATTTGGGACACTGATGCGGGTTCAATTTTTGCTGAAAAGTTTTTGAATATATTTTTGAGAGTGAGCACTACAGAATTAAACTTCAGAGTGCATATTTTGTTTCATTCAGTGTTATTACAGCTGTGTCAAGCTGAAATCAACCAAGCAAAGTTCTTCCAAACTTTTACCTGTATTGTCTACATCATTTATCATTATGAAGAGAATGATAAGATGAGGGAAGATGTCCCGTCTAGCTCCTCCCATCATATTATGTCGAGTTTAGGTAGGCAAAAGAATGCTTGCTTGCATAAGATAATCAATTATTAGAATGTGTGTGAAGAAAAAGTATCTTTTAGTTTTTTAAGTTTATCAAGATCGGTAAGGTGTACAATGTACATGGTACTGACAACTCTTTTTAGAGTTAGATATTTGCTTAAACCCGATGGTTTATCATTGGAGAGCTATTAAAGCTAAAGCAAAGGCAAACGGTAAAACTTGCGATTATTCTCTACACTACTCTAGCGGCTAATACTATATCAGGTGCTTCTCATTAAACACCGCCAGACAACTGAAACAATGGTGAGAATTTCCTAGTTGCCTCTTAGAGCCTCCTTTCAGTACAGGACCTCCTTTGTTCGTTGCGATTAGCGCTCTCTTATCAGTTACTGATGTGCGTGCGTGCATGCGTGCGGGTGCGGGTGCGTGCGTGCGTGGGTGCGGGCGCGGGCGCGGGTGCGTGCGTATTCAGCAGCCTATATACACGGAAACCACAGACAGGTACAGTTCCGTTAATCTTTATGTTAACACTGGGAACAATCGCGTTAAGGATCTTAAAAAGCCTGAACAAAATACCAAAAAACCAAAAGTTTCATGAAATGTACATACATTCAACGGGTTGGGAGAGCAAGGAACAGTATTCTTGTTGAAATGCTTGAAAAGAACTGAAGGCTGGAGAGTAGAGATGATTTCAATTTTATTACAACTCGTTATTTCATTGCAAGGACAGTTTTTAAGAAGCTCTGATACTGGGTGGAAACAGTAAACAGCAACTTTACTATAATGAAGTAGGAAGGCGGAGACATATCCTACGGGAAGAGGGGAAGCTGAAGTTGATCTCGTTTCTGTCGAGTTCGGATTTATTTTTCTTAATGCCTTGGACAGTCTGGGGCCATGTCGAAGTGTTTGGCTATCAACAGGAGTGGACAAATCCGGACAGGGGGAGGGGGGGTGGTTTCTGAAAATCAGAAAAAGTCCCATTTATTTCAACTCTTTGAATTTTATTTCAACTCTTTGAATTTTATTAACAATGAATTTGAGTTGGTTTTATTTTGGGGTCGTTCACATATTACGTAATTAGCCGAGGGGGGGTTTCAAACGATTACGGTTGATTACGGGGGGGGGGGGGGAGGGTTTTGGTCGTTGATTACGTAATCAAAATTTTAATTTTTTACAGATTTTCGAAATACCGATTGGACAATTTTCGTTAATTATGTAATCAAAATTTTCGTTTTTTAAACCAATTTTCGTTTAGTAAGTGCTTTGCGATTATTTGATTCATTAATCCGTTGTGATAGCTTTTAATAAATAAATGGCTTAACATGAACATGTTTGATTACGGGGGGGGGGGGGGGTCATACCTTAACTACGTAATATAGGGGGGGGGGGGGGGGTTCGGTCTTGATTACGGTTGATTACGGAGGGGGGGGGGTAAAAATTGCCAAAATATCGATTACGTAATGTGTGAACGTCGAGGTGTTTGGCTATCAACAGGAGTGGGGAACCGGACTTCATCATCTAACTTGGGCTACTTGGCGTTTCTATACAATGGAAAGCCAAAAAACTAGACTTCTTGGTACCTTTATCTTTCAATTGATTTATAAAAGACCTCATTACTTTGAGAATGGAAATACTTACTTTAGGTAATATAAATAACAAGATATCTAAGTTATTGTTATAGTTTTTGGTATTTAAGCGGGTAAATAATGGCGTTACCTCCTAATTATGGCATCATATTGCGCGCGAAAATTACCTCAAAACACCTGTTTGATTAACATACTTACTTTCGCAAGTTATGGGATATTCTTGGGAGAATCTTGTTCCCTCCAAACATGTTATCTTCCCTGACATTTCTACGTAACCAGGTTTACATGATACTTCAACCTCAGTTCCTGGAGGAACTGGAAACTGAGTGGTAGTTGATAGCTTATCATGTTCAGGGTCGAAGTCCTGTGCATTCAGCTGAAATTGTGATGTATTTTATTTGAGTTTTATTGTTCTTAAATGCAATATATTTGGGTATCCTATGGTTCAGAGAGTATACACGTGTCATAACTTATAGCAATATTTAAATTACAATTTGTAATGCTCTCTGGATTATTAAAATGATTAATATTTAATACTAACGATTTGAGTAAGATACAGTGATCTCTGCAGCACACCAAGTACCCCCTGTCTTTTTCCACACCTTCAGTCCTACTCCCTCGTTGTTCGCACAAGACATCTCGTAGGTTTGAGCTTCCACTGTTTTAGTCTGCGTGTCTGTTCCGGTTAAAGTTCCGCAGTCTTCTATATCTCCGTTTTCTTTGAGGATGGAGAATATCGTGTTTTCGTTTTTATTCAGATAGTAGTCGTATCTTGGAATGAAAATTATTTTGGAGATAGTAAATTTGGTGCCAAAGTATAATTCCACCCAAGGGCCTTGGCTATCGTATCTAGATGAATAGAAAGTGGCTGGATTTTCGTCAAACATGAGCGAAGGTTTGTGCGTGTCGTTGGCAGGATTAGCTTGAGGATAATAGTCGTGGACCAAAACTGTCTGGATAGGTAGATTGTAACCTGGGAGATTTAGATTTTACGCTTAACCAAGACTTCCTTGATTAGAGCCTCATTCTATATCTGCATGTTTTTCTGAAATCTGAAAACCCACCCAATAATAAACCAGACCTGATGAAGAGCAGCTAGCTTCACTCTCAGAGCCTGAGGGTGACAGCTTGTAATCAGGACACGGTGTACAAGACATAGCCCCACTCTTGCTGTATGTGTTCCGGGGACATTCCACACAACCTACTTCCCTGCTCATGAAATAACCTTTGTAGCAGGATCCTGAAATAGATTTATACAATTATTAGGTGGAGGTGAACAGAAAACCAAATTATAACTTTAAGAGACAATTTTCATGATGATATGTTTGCTCAATGTTCATATTCTACCTGATCTCTGATAAGATAGTCCAGTCGTGTGCTGCTCAGTGAACATGATCTCCACCACCTTTTTACTCCACGCCCTCATACTCCTCTGACTGAACACTGTTCCATCATATTTTCTATCAAACAGCTTTATGTAATCCATCTCCCAGACCTTCTCTCCTCCGCATGTTATGACCAGTTTCCGGTTCAGTTTGTAAAGGACCCACCTCCTATTTGATGAAATGTTACTGAGGTCCATATCGGCAGTCTCGGAAGTGTAATGGTTTTCTATTTC